GTAGTTGTATTTGTTATTGTTGTTGTGTATTGATAAAATCGAGCATCTCTCAGGGTTTTAAACAGTTTTCTAATTGTACTCTTTGATTTTCTCTAACATCATTTTGTTGGTAATGTGGTATTTTGTAAATACTGTTAGTATTATTGGAAAGTAAATAGGTACATATAGCATTAGTTATCATTTAGGTTAGTTTCTTAGCTGTTACAGCTGTTTGTGGCGTATGTATGTGTGTGTGTGTGTGTGTATGTGTGTAAGTGGGTGGTAGGTATGCAGATGTACTTATGTATGTATTAGTAGTGATCTCGAGCGCCTGGTGCTGCTGTTTTTTTTGCTGCTTTTTTCAGTTTCAGCTTTGACTTTTTTGCTTTCTTTTTCGTTAAAGTTTGAGTTTCGGATTGTTAAGGCTGTGTGGACCTTGGCTCTCGCAATCGCTAATAAACGTTACACTTTAAGGATATACTTTGTATTAATTTAGTATTTTTTTTTTTTTTGTGTTTTTATACTTAATCGAAGTGCGTGCGTGTGCGGTTTTGTGTTTCTTGGGGGCGGGACCAATACCATTGTGTGTTTGTGTGTTGTTTTTTTTTTCTTTGTTTTTGAGTTATTATTGTTGTCTGCTCGACTATAATATGATTCACTATTTCAACGTAGTGTATTGTTTGTGTGTGTGCGTATGAGTGTGTTTTGGTGTGCGTATGTGCGTATGCGTACTTTTTGTGTGTTGTAAAGTATATAGGCTTTCCTTTATGCGCATACATACAAACAAACAAGCATGCAAACACAAACACACAAGCATGTTTGAGTATGCGTGTGTGTGCGTGTATGATGTACACGATCGCCTGATGTCGGATGTAGGTATATATGTATACAAATGCCAATTGTTGTGCAGCTTTGATTCGATTCTATGCATTTTTCTTCACATTTCTGTTTCTGTTTTCAAATAAGCATTCGATTTGCCAATTAAATAATTAGCCAATGGAGCCTACCTCAGTTGTTTGCTGCTGCCCCTATTTTGGGGTTGGGGTTTTGTTGGGAAAGTGTGCGCTTTTTTTTTAAATTATCTAATTTGGGGAAACCACGGCACAATGCGTTGCCAACTATTGATGTACATACATATAAATGAGGCATGACTTATGCGCATACTATGCTATGCTAGGGTAAATGCCTGACCAATTATTGATATTTATACATACAGATACATCGGGCATAATGTATGTACATACTATCGTTTATGTTTGCCTAATTTACGTTCAGGACGGGACGGATGATCGGGATATATATAGACGCTAAAGTACATCAAGGGGGAAGAGATGATATGTAAGCATATGTATCGCATATACATGTATATACATACACACATTTTGATGAATATATGTACATATACGTATGTAGATAAATATGTGCGCGCGTGTTATGCTGTCTGAATGTGCAAATAAAATGATATGCGTTTAGCTTTTGTTTCATATTCGAGAATAATTTTGCTCATTAGTTTGGCAGCCGTATTTGAATTAAATGGAATTGGAAATGAAAATAATTTGAAGTAATTAAAAAAAACAATTCAAAAGAAAGACACATTAAAAACAACGGTGCAATTGATGTTTTAATATTTTTGTTTTTTTTTTTTGGTTTTTCATATTTTTAAGTTTTAGGTTTTTGAACGCAAATATATATAATTGAAGCTTTTCTTTTGCTTTTGCTGTTAATTGGGTCAGTTGGGATGTTGGGGAAAGTGGCAAGGGGAACATGGCTTGGAGAATTGGTATACTTAGTTTTAGACACAAGCACGACGACGTACAAAGTAAATAAAAAATTTCAATACATAATATATTTAAGTATATATTCGATCGATCTTATAATGCGTTGCATTTTACCGAAACAGAAGAGTTACATCAAATGAGGGTGGTTTGCATAATGTACTTGTTGTGGCTGTTATGTATACTATGAATTGACAAATAAGTTGTAAACAAATCAAAAGAACTCGACTGAACTGAACTGAACTGAACTAAACTTAAGAAAATTAAAGCAACAAAAGCAACTATTCCTTGACTTTCCATCTCTCTCTAGCTCTCTCTCTCTCTCTTACCAGGAGGCTGGCTAACAGTGCTGCCAACTGACGATAAAAACCTAAATAGACAACGCTGCTTGGCAACAGTGTTGTCAATGTAGTTGCAAAAAAGTTGCTAAGACCAGTGTTAATAGCTAATAGCTTAAAGAAAAAAGCTGAATTACTTTCCAAAAAATTTTAGTATTCATTTTAGCACACTGATTTAACGCGGAAATGAAAACATAAACGTGAACGGAAACGGGAACATGAATTGAAACATAAACAAACATAATTACTTCATTTGGCATATAAGTATACAATAAATAGATATAAGCGTAAATAGGTAATTGAACGCATTTGATAATTGTGTTTGATATGTATGCGTGTGGATATATGTGTGTGTGTATAGTATGCATGTAATTGGTTGCACATGTGCTGATGGTTTTTACTATGGCTTTTAAATACTAATACAAAATTAGCACACAAATCAACGAAACTGAAACGTTAAAATGAACGAACGAACAAATGTTTAAGAAACAAAACTATGGAAAATATATATTTAACATCATATTTTGTTAAAAGCTAGCTTCAATATTGATTCTAATTTAAACTCGGTTTCGGCTTAGAATTCGAATTGGACTGTTTACCGATTTCATAATACTTTAAATGTTCGGTATTTGTATAGCGGTGTGTATGCGAGAGAGAGAGAGAGAGACAGAGAGAGAGAGAGAGAGAGAGAGAGAGAGAGTCAGAGAGAATAGGAAAGATATTGAGAGCGATCGAATGCGGCATTATGACATATTGAGAGTATATAGTTGAATCTGATTGAACATGTGTGGACATGAAATAAGCCGAATGAACTTGAAATTTAACAAAAAAAACGCACTTCTCGCAATAGCAGAAAGCAGCCAAAACACTGAACCCAACAATCAAAAAACGTTTCCTATTGGAACCTTGCTAATAGGAAAGCGTGTTGCCCATTTGGATTGTTGCTTATTAGACACAGGCACATCCCAGTTTCAGTGTGTCCAATTCATAAATTATCAACACGAGCTGAGCTAAGTTCTTCTGTAGAAAACTCAAATAGTTGATTCTATGTTCATTCTTGGTTATGGAAAATCGCCATAAATACAAATTTTTTATTGAGTTTCACGTTATTAACAAAAAATGTTCTTCTTTTCTGTTCTGTTTTCTTTGGAATATATTACTCATAACAACTAAAAAAAAAACTTTAACTTTAAGTTATTTTTTTCATTTTTTTTACTTCTCCGATTTTCTTTAAGCAACTTTAAAAAGCATTTTCTTTAGAATATATTTTTTCTACCTACTAAAAAGCTATTTCAATTTAATTTTTTTTTTTTTCATTTTTTAATATCCGTTTTTTTTAGTAGAAAAAATTGTTTTATGGCAATTTTCTAAAATGCATGAACATCTTTTTTTTTAGTGTATCTGTTCATGTTCATGTTGGGGCAGGCCACAAAGCCGCAAAGCTTTTCCGAAACTGGTTTTAGTTGTAGCATGTGCTGAGGCACGCACACATTCTGTGTGTGCGAGGCAGGGTTGCAAATGGGGTGTGGCAAATTGTTGTGGCCTAACCTCAGAATAACAGCGGCAATTAAAATGTGCGCCACATATTCAAAACAGTCAATTTTGCTAAACACTTCTTCTCCTCAAAGTGCGTTCGTTAAGTTAATTAGATTAATGTATTCACACACACACGCACACACACACAGACACACACTAACATGATTGGGCAGAAAAAAGGAGTCTGTGGCAAGGATTGCTTGCAACGGTTTCACGTATCGTAATGTTGGGTTCAGTTTTTGCTGTTAGATGCTAACATGAATTTGGCTGGATTATTATTTTGATTTCGATTTCGGATAGCTAGCACATTGCTATGCATTATCATTATGTGATAATCATGAGCATCATTGGCGTCATCATCGACATCAGCTTGGCGGTTTGTTATACATATGCTAACTGATGTTCATTGCCTAAACTCAAAGCATTTGCTTTTTCGAATTGTTTATTTTGACGTGTATCGGAAATAAATGAAAACATTTACCATCGAAACAATCGAACAAGAAAGAAATTTATACACTTTTCTCATTGGACTTATTAAAGATGCAAACAGAACAAAAAAAAAAAAAAACTATTAGAAAATAAAAATTACCAAAAAAATGGAATGAAAACTGTTTTGTAACTATTTTGTATTTCAGCATTAATTTGTTTTAGCTTTTACGTGCTTGCAATTCTAAAATACCCCTTGACAAAGTTGGCTCAGCGACTGGAAGTCTTTATATATATATATATATATGTATATAGGGTACCTATTGCATTAGATACCCTGTGCCATCCGGCTGTACTGGGCCACCTTTGATGGGGACGTTAGTATCTTGGTTTACTTTTTGAAAAATTAAATCAAATATTGAATGACTGAAATAATTAGCGAATGAAATTATCAAATATTCGTGTGTAGGTAAATAAATCAAAAGTTAAATCAAACTGTATTTAACGCACATATATAGCCGATTTATATGCATGGTACGTAAAGTATGTAAGTATGTTTTCAAGTAAAACAAATGATACAGACACATTTCTTCAACGTTAAAATATTTGGATTTCGATTATTTCCTTTTTGTTTTTTTTTTTCTTTTTCATTGATATTAATTTATTTGGGTTTTCTTTTTGTTTTGTTGATATTTTATATATATATATATATATATATATATATATATATATATATATATATATATATATATGTATACATATGTATATGTATCTATATATATATATATATATATATATATTTTTTTTTTGATACATATATATATATATATATATATATATATATATTTTTCTTGGTATTTGCATTTGATGTAAAAAATGTAATAATGAGCTTTTGAGCGCAAATAGAGCGAAACAATAGAGCAAATAGAGAAATGTTCGGACTCACCTTGTGGAGAGACAGCAAGTTCGCCAGATTGTTGTAGCTGTGTGTTGAGACCTGGATATATGATCAAAAAAAATCAAGAAAAGAGTTTTTAGATATAAAAATGTAAGTGCATATATATGTGTGTGTGTGTCGCTGTGTGTCTTGCGTACAGTCAATAGAAATATTGCCTACATTTAGAAAATCGCCTTAAAAAATAAAACTTTTTAAAACTGTTACCAAGCTCTTGCTTTTTTTTTTTAAGTTCAATGTCAATGTTACTTTTGCTAAACTCGAACTTTAACTTAATTTTGGAAATTATTTCTGAATAAACTGAACGATTTTCAATTTATGTTTGGTTATTTCATGCAAATCTCTGACTTTTGCCAAACTCTAATTTTAACTTATTTTTTGGAAATAAGTTCTGAATATTTTGAAGAATTTACAATATATATTTGTTTTTGTTTTTTTTTTTATTTTTTTCTATAGAATCTCCATGACATTTGCTATGCTCAAGCAAATTATCCAGCTTAAACATTAACTAATTGTTTGCTATTTATTTTGGAATATTTTGAATAATTTGCCGTATATGTTTGGTTTTTTAAAGAATCTCGCAGGCTTTTGTCATACTCTATTATCACATCTAGCTTTAACTTTAGCTAATTTTTTGGAAATAATTTCGGAATATTTCAAACGATTTTCAATTGATGGCGATTATCTTAAGTAAAAAGAGTAAATCTTTGGAAATACGCACCAATCAAAGCTGAATGATCGAGATTGGTCATCGGAAAGTTGAATGCGGCGCCCGGAAACAGTTTGCTGTCGGCTGGCGACATGATGAACGGCTGTGCGGCATGATGGGCGGCTAGATTCTCGTTAATCTCATCATCGTTGCCGGAGCTGCAAGGGCAAGGATGTGGGGTATTAAATATTGCACGGAGACTGTGCTGTGGCAAGTTGTTGTAGTACCTTAGGGAGCCTTTGCCACCATCTCCGCTGCTGGAACGATTGGCGTCATGCTCGCCGGTCGAGTCGTTGCTGTGCTCGTCATTGACATTCGGGTTGGCGTTGTTGTTGGAGCAGACCAGCTCCATTGGCTCCGACTTGACGTCGTCGACACCGCGGGCCAACGGCGAGGGTGTCATACTGCCCAGTTTCTCGCTGATGGAGATGCCGTTCCCATTCCCATTTCCATTGCCGTTGCCGTTGGTGTTGCCATTGCCCGAGTTGCCAGCATTGCCGTTGCCAGTGGGTCGGTTACCTGCAAGCGGACGGATGAGATAATCAAAATCAATCAAGCTGCCCCTCCCCCCCCCCCCTCGCTTTGGGCTGGTGTGGCTACTCACGTTTCTCTTCCTTGAGCGGCGGCGTGTTGTTGTTGTTGTGGTGTTTGATCGTGCTGAAGTCGGCCGGCGTCAGCTGGGGCGAGGCGCTGCGCGTGTGCAGCTGCAAGTCCGGGCTGTTGTTATTGCTGCTGGCGGACAGGCCGTTATCGTTGGCGCTACGCAAACGCTTGAGCGCATGCGACGTCTCCTCGACGGAGGCGGCGGCGGCGGCGGCGCTGCTGTGATGCATCATGGCCATGCGCTTCAGCAGGTTGTTATTGATATGCGGCAGCTGAGGCGGCGGCGGCGGTGGTGGCGAACCGGCTCCCTGGCGGCTGAACAACGTTCCAGCCCCATCGTCTTGCAGCGCTCCATGATGTGCATGTGGATGTGTGTTCAGTGGCGTGCGTGCGCCGGCATTGGCCAGGTTCTGTATCTGTGCCAGGTGCTGTAAAGGTTAGACAGTTGCAATATCTGCCTGCCTTCCTGCCTGTTGTAACCAAACGTGTGTCTACTTACGCTGTGCGTGTCCTCGGCCTGTTGCTGTGTCAAACCGGAGACGCGCAGCACCTCAGCGGTCTTCAGGAAAGACTGCAGCGACTTCTGGTGCACGTTTACCTCGCCGTGGTATATGAATTCGACCAGCGAGTGCAGATCCATGAAATTGACATCTTGCAGCAATATGACCGGATGTTTGCAGGGTGTGCTCTGAAAAAAGACAACAATGCCGGGGCATTAGTCAACTCTGATGATTTACTTAAGCACTAAGCATGCTGTGAGCCAAACAAAGTTTCCCTCCTTAACGGCTCAACGGACTCCGTCGGTAACCTTCAACTATCTCGAAAATGTCAACGCTACCCACTCCCACAAGCGAATCACTTAAGCGAATCACTTAAGACTCGTTACTGTTACTGCCCTCCATATACTATATATATATATATATATATTTATAATATAATACTTGATAATTTTTTTTACTTAATTCAAACTCTAAAACAAGCTGGCAATTTAAACAATCCTTGAGTCAAGTTTTAATTCAATATTTTCAGTATCAAATATTCAGATTCAAGCACCAATTTAGTTCGAAAAAACTTGAATCAAGCTGTAACTGATGTTTTTCAGCCGAATTGCAAGACTAGATTAATTTGATTCAATATTTGCCGTCCTTTTGCACACGCATCGCTTGCAGCTGACCCCATTTCCCCTGCCCCAAACCAGTTGCAGGGCGAATGCCAACCACGTCGTTTTTATTCTTCGAGTCTGCAGTCTCCACTTTTATCTCTGTGTGTGTTCGCGTGTGTAAATTTCACTATATCATCAAGTGGCAACCCAACGAAATGCATCAAAATTAGGTCAAGTTACGGGATCTTTGTTATTATTTCGGTTGCGCTCACTGGGTCTACAAATACAGATGCAGATTCAGATTCAGACCCTGTCCCAGCCCCAGCCTCGTCTTCAGCCGCAGCTCCATGCCCGATCCCATGTTCATTTCTGTGGATGTGCATTGAGAGGCAGACAGAAAAAAAGACGGACAGACAGACAGTTGGTTGTCTTGTCTTGTCTCTGCGCCTTATTTACTCGAGCTTGCAATTTATTATCACATTCGCAGATGAAGTGATGTAAACGCGCATGCACATATGTACTTGCATGCATCTGTACACGCATGTACATGTATGTGCAAATATGCATGTACATATAATCTCGCACATACTCCGTGCCCACACGATTGTGTGTGTATGCGTGTGTGTGTGTGTACAGAGACGGGGCGAGAGGCAGGGACAGGGACGGGGACGCGGACAGGCGCAGCGGCAGATTGTGAAATTGAGGTCAAGACGGCAGCGATCAAGTGATCGTCACATCCAAAGAGTACCAATGTGCATGATTTTCGCCAAAAAAAAAAAAAAAAAAAAAAAAAAAAAACAAGAAGAAGAAATAACGTACAAAAAAGAAGTGGGGAAAATATAAGAAACAGGAACTGCAAAGGCGAGATTCGGCTAGATGAAGAGTTTGGAGGAGCACTGTGTCGCCAGTGCTGCACAACTGTCGGTGCCAAAAAGGGAGCTTTTATGCCGACCAGTGTTGCAAAACTCTGACCTACAGAAATTGCCTTTTCGATATGAAAAACAGAAACTGCAACGGCTACCGCTATTTGGCTAGAGAAAGTGGCTGGAAGACCACAGTGGTAATAGGGTCTGCTTGGAAAGGAACATAGCTTAAATAAATCACAATAAATCTAAATCACTTTCAAAATAGCAAGAAAAGCAAGCAGCTACAAATCTGAAGGGTTTTCGACAGTCGACCTCTGTAAATATTTGAATTTAGCTTTAGCAAAATTTAGCTTAGTTGGCAACCCTGTTACATCAAGTGTAAATTGTGAAAGTCCATGTTTGCAGCCGCACTCTGCTCAGTGGGCGTGTCCCGACACATCCGCAAATGCCTGTCGCGGACAGTCGCAGTTGCAGTCGCAGTCACAGTCGCAGTCACAGTGTCAGTGTCAGTTTGAACAGAAGCCAAAATGCTTTTAGAAGCGCTTAACTCGGACGCCCATTAGCCAGGCCCATTGGTTGGCGCCCGCTCGGACTGCTGGCAGTTGGTAGTTGTTGCCACTTCATATCTTGTTGTCTGTTTGAGCATGGGAGGCGGAGGGGAGAGGGGGGCTTTGCAGTTTTACACCTAATTAAAATAATGCGCTGCAGTTAATTAAATATTTATGCATAGGCACAAGGCGTGCACAATTGCGACGCCGAGAAGATCAAGCACAGAGAGCGCACCCAAAGTGTCGCCAGACCCGGACTCGGACTCGGGCTGGGCTGGACTCTGGCTTGCATGTCTGTTGCTGTTGTTGCATGTTTTTCAAATTGAATTTACAAACTTCGCTGCCTGCCTCTCGTATTGTTGCACTGCCAACAAAGTTTTGTATACTCTGTACTAATTTCTTGGTATATAATTATTTTAGCATTATTTCCCCTCTTTTCTCCTGCCCTGCTTGGCATTGTTGCAGTTGCAGTTGTTGTCTTTTTTTTTTTTGCTCTGCAGTTAGTTGGCCTTTTTACTAAATTAAATGCCGACATGCTGTTGTCTGCAATTGTGTTGGATCTTCATTATCATAGCCCACCCCCCCCCCCCCCCCCCCTTGTCCCTTGCTCTCACCGCCTGTAACTTTGCAATTTATTGGCCGGATACCTTGTAAAATGAGGCATCTGTAGTTGGACCCCGTGCCGTATACACAATATGCCAGGTACACAATGTGACGTATTGTCAAAAGTAAGCATTGCAACCATTTGCGACGCCAATGCCACTAAATGGCCAAAGAAATAATCCCCGACTCCCCCTCTTTTCTACTCTTTCCCAAATGTTAAAAGAGTATATTGGTTGTATGCTGTCCGGCTGCCCGTCTGTATGTAGTTTCGTTGGCATATCGAATCGGTCAAATTTACATCTTTCACACTTAAATTGCAATTAATTTCAGAGCTAGAGAATTGAAAGTTGGAATATATATTCCTCAGCATGACGTCAGTCAAATAGGTGACATCTTCCAAAGATCTTCCACAATTAAAGCGCAAGAAAGATCAAATAAAAAAAAAAAGACTAATCAGCTGCTCTGAAAGTCGGGACTTCCCAATAGATTTGATAGGTAGGCAATATATATTCCTTTAGTCACGCGTCAGACAAATTGTTGGAAAACTTGTAAGACTTTCAGCTAGGCCCCTGATGACATCCTGCAAAGCTCTTGCAAAATTAAAGCGCGAAAGTGATCAAATATGAAACGCACACTGATCAGCTCATCAGCTGTTGTCAATAGATTTGATGGGTAGCATTATAATAAATCTTATATGACACCAAGTGAGTATTGGGCAGTCGTTGCCGCCCGGCCGCAACATTTTTGCGTGTTTGCTCTCCTATTTTCCTGTTTTCAAAGTTCCTGCATTAAATAGTTGCTGTTATTTTTTTGCGTCTAAAATTTACAAAGCCAAGTTTTCTATCATGTTAACAAATCACGTCAAGAGCGAATATTTACGACCAACCAGCCAACAAAACTAAGAACTGAGAAGTTTGTAATTTATATAATTTCTGCTGCAATGGCAAAAAGCAGGCAACGGCAACGGCAAGGGGGCCACCATCCCACTAATCAATTCGGTAACCAATCTACTAAGCCCAGCCAAGCCCGGGCCCGATCCCAATCCCAATCCCGACCCGGGCTCACCAGCTTCGTCGTGACGCCAATGACAGCTCAAACAATGCAAATGGCAAAGTTTTGCGATGCCAGCGAGGGGAGAGTAGAGGGCAGTAGAGATGGGGGGACGGAGACGTTGGCCAAGTCCTCCTAAAAACCGCAATTGCGTGCAAATATTTTCAATGCAGTCACAAGTTTTGGCGAGCAGGTAAACGAGGCACCGACTTCCATAATTTTAATGTCATAATAAAAATAAAATAATAACAAAAAAAAAAAAAAACAAACACAACCAAACACACACAAGCAGGCAACAAGACGTCATTCGCTGCATTGTATTCCCATTCCCAGCTTCAAAGTTCTAGTTAATGTTCCTTTTCATGCCCTCAACCCATTGCAACATGAATATAAACGGGTATATCGGCTATGTGCATATTTCTGTAACAGCCTAATTCCAGTTGCAACGTTTCTTTCATCACATCAAATATGTGGCCTGTCCATTTTCCCACAAGAAACCACATTTGTTACATTAGAAAAAAATGTTTGAATTCAACGCGAGTAATTCGTGAATTCGTAACTTTGAACATAGTGGAATCTGGTTTAAGCCTGTTCGATATCTTCTTTCCATTATATGTATATGCACACATATGTAACTAGAAAATTATAAAAACTACACCAAACTTGCCATGTACTCGTACAGATGAAAAATATTACACTTTTCAGATACCTTTTCTTATTATTTTTAAAATGGGCAGAATTGGTTAACACTGATGTTATTCAGGAACGCGTTTGTATATAATGATAAGCTTAAAAGATATTGACAGACTCTTAGCGCTGTGTTCAGGGTATTTGCTAGTCGGTCACTTCCGCGTAGAACACTCATAATTGTTGGGTTTGAAGGCAGAATGCAAATTAGCAGAGACAGCGAGAGGGAGAGGGAGAGAGGGAGATAGTGAGAGAGAGTGCGAGAGAGAGAGAGGGAGAGACAGAGGCTTTGCGTAGAAATGTGAATATGTTTTAGGCTGAGGTCCAGTTTGGCATATGAATCACATGTTTTGGCCAAATAATTGCCCGATTTGAGCCAGTTTGGACTCATAATTTAGTGCAGAACTTATTGCCTTACAGGAGTTTCAAACGGAACGATGGCCCTGACTGTACCTGCGACTGTCCTCGCAGAATGCAGAACTTTCTTATACTATCCGGCAGTTGTCGACATTTGGCGTGTTGTCGTCTGTTTTGCCTTTGTTGCTATTAAATGTACTACTTAGAGTTGTTGCTGTTGTTGATGTTGCCGTCGTGCGCAACTAAATAAATTAAAATGCAAACTGAAGGCAAAGGCAGACGAGCAGACGGCATGGGCCCATTATTGCCGTAATATTTTAGCTAAAAGCACAAAAATAAGTAAGAACTAAGAACTTCGCCTTTGCCAGTTTACACCACGAGAGCACGAGACATTTCAACGTTTTGCAGCACACAAACATAAACTAGTCAACTGTACACGTAATTAGCCATCCATATATACAATTATCGTTTTATTAATTAGGCTGCCATTAAAAATTGTGCTGCACAGCAGGTGAGACAGCCCAGCGATTCAGTCGAGACCCGACTCTGCCACAGTTTAGACGGTTGCACGCTGCGTATGCGACACATGTGGCCAGTGCCACATTTTTTCCAGCCAAGCCATCTCTTCATATGCCTCAGATATATAGCTGTACAATCTGTTTATCTTTATGCAGCTGGCGAACACAATGCACAACGCAGCGTCTTGACTGGCAGCTGATGCACACTCCTCGCTTTTTTCGCCCTTTATCTCATTTATTCTCGGCTTATGTAGGTCACCACAAAGGCAAAAGAAAATGTATTTCGAATTGCGAAACATAAATCTCAATTGCAAATTAATAAAAATTCTTTTCGCATGTCCCCAATTCACAATTCTAAACCAAATCAAATATAATATCTAATTAATATTCTACTATGGGGTCTAGGTATGTGCCTAGTTTGGTTTATCTAGCTGCTATAATCGATGTATCGACTGGTGGGTGGTGGGTATTAAATGGGGGAATATTATCTCTAATAGTTTTCGGTATCAATGACAATGGAATATTGACTTGGCTGATCAAGAATCGGAAATAAGTATGAGTTTAGGATCTAGTTATAGATATATCTGATTCCTAATCGATTATTATCTATTTTACGGCAAGAAGGGAAGAATTCGAAAAGTATATCGATATCATTCCGCGTATTATTAAAGGGGAGACTCTATATAGTTTCAGTATTCGGAATCAACGAGAAATTTATATATTAACTCGGCTGATCACGAATCGGAAATGCTTCCTTAACTTATTAGACACTTTAAATGTGAAGAATCTCGCATTCGTACTTTTTAATGACACATCTAGATCCTAAGCCAAGAAATTGATTCAGATTCGACAGATTTCGGGCCATTTAACATGTTTAATTACCACCCAGACTAAGCCAGTTTCGTGTACTCGTCATGATTTTGGACTTACCTTCAACAGATCGCGGAAGTAGGGGCTGCATGCGGAAAGCACCACGCGGTGCGCCTTAATGCTGCGTCCCTCGCAGGCGAGCGTCACATCGACAAAGTCCTCGTCATCGCGAAGGTTCTCGAACGCCGATGTGATGCTGCTCTGGTAGTTGTTCCACCGCAGACAGAAATGTTGTGTCTCGTCCATGTTGCTTTGTTCTTGTTCCGGGTAGAAGTTATTCAGCTCGATTGTGGCTATTCGACTTACAGTTGGAGTTGGACTTGTTGTTGTTGCTGTTCTTAGCTGCCTAGCGTTGTTGTAGTTGTAGTTATTGCTGCTGTTGTTACAATTCTTGTTGCTGTTGTTGTCGTCCTCAACTGCGGAAACAACGCTGGCTTTCTTTGTAGTCACCTTTTTGCGTATTTTGGCGGCTCTTTATTGCACCAAGGGAAGAAACAGTTCGTCTTGCTCCTCGTGTTTGTGACGCCTACGCACACATACACCCACGCACGCAGACACGCACACACGCACACAAGTGAAAAGCGGCGCCCACAACTCCTTGTTGCTTACGTAAATGTTGTTCCTGTATTCTGTGATGATCGGTTGACTATTGACTAATATTTAAATAACTGCAATTGGAAAAGGCGAGAGAGAGAAGCAAATGGATAAGCAATTAATTAATTTGATTGTCAATACATTAAATATATTATAATAATATTAATATATTTGTCCTGCATTTATCTTTGTGGGTTAATACATATAAGTTAAACAAATATATAAATTTTAAATTGCCAAATTCGAACCGCCAGCTGGTTCGATTCTCAGACACCTAGGACACGCACACTGATAACGTCACGTTTTTGTCTGATTTACCTAAGACGCACCAGTGTGCTGACTTTTGATCGAAGAGAAAGGTCAGTCAATCAATCAGTCAGTCAGGATAAGCTTTTATATGCATATAAATATATATATAAATATATATGCACATATATATATTTATATATATATATATATATATATGTGCATATATTATATATATATATATATATATATATATATATATATATATATAATATATGCACATATATATATATATATATATATATATATATATATATATATATATATATATATATATATATATATATATATATATATATATATATGCATATATTAATTTAAAGCTCGTGGTCTTCTATTGTCAAGGTGCAATTTAATCTAAATCTTGAAATTTTCATTAAATTGTAGAGCTGCAATGTAAACAAATCATTTGAGCAAGTATAAGATAATTATATTATTCTATGTAAATTGAATACAACTCGTTTAACTTGTTTGATCAAAATTCATGCGAGTTATTTTCATTATTTTTTCAAAACACACACTCATATGTGTGTGTCTTCGTTCTCTGAGGGGGGGGTTTTTCTGCTGCAGCCGCTAAAAATGTCGATTGTTTTGTGCAACAAACGCAACAATGCAAAATGTTCGAAAATTGTTAACAAATGCACTTTAAAATATTCAACCACGGCGACAATTTGTGTGACATAGAAACAAAACTGAAATGAAGAAGAAAAAACTAGTCTCTAGACAAAAAGAAGCAGCACGAAGCAATCGCAAACAGACAACAAATATTACGATTTAAACGAGTACAATTTAATTTTATATGTTTTTTGTATTCACCCAAAACGCGTGCTTCGAAAAAAGTCAGCGCTAAGCAAATGAACCAAGTCGAACCAAAGTGAAAACAGCAAACGCATCGCAAATAAATAAAACACTTGTAGTGCACAATTTTCGATGTGCTTTTTGTATTGGTTCTGGTTTTGGTTCATGAACTGGTTCTGTTTCTGCTCTTGCTTTAGCTTATATTATTTTAGGGAGGATATTTACAGATATCGTCTGCATTCGCATTAGTTCTGGCTCTTAAATTTGTTCTGGTTCCAGAACTGGTTCTAGTTCCTAAACTGGTTATGTTTCTGCTTTTGCTTAAGATTCCATTCTATTCGCGAAGAGAATTCTAGATCTTATTTGCATTCACATTGGTTTTGGTTCTGGTTCTTAAGTTGTTTCTGGCTCCTGTACTGGTTCTGTTTGGTTTTGGTTCTTGAAAAGGTTCTGATTGGCTCTGGTTTGGTTTCAAAACTAGTCCTGTTCCTGCTTTTGCCCAAGCTTATATTCTGTACCTAAGTACTAGCGAACACTTTGATATTCGCATTGGTTCTGGTTCTGGTTCTGGTTCATGAACTGGTTCTATATCTTGCTTTAGTTTCGGTTCCCTCCTCTCGTCCATACATGTTTGCTCTCTTTCGCGCTAGCACACACACACACACACGCGTTAAAGTTGTTACTGCCCATGCTTTAATTTCTATTCTGTAAGCGAGGATATTTCTAGATTTCGTCTGCTTTGAAGTCTCCTCTCTATGTAAGAGCGTATTCTTTCCTACACACATACGCTCAGACGCGCACGTAAAAGCTTGCTTATGTGTGTCTGTAAGTCTGTGTGTGTGTGTTTGTGACATTGAAAGTGAAAACTATCAAGATAAGTCAAGGCGTGCGGTTGTGTGCGTTGCACTTTTTAGCTATTCTAATAATAGCACGCAGTCAGCCCCAATCACCAAACTTTTCTATGGACACATATGTACATGGAACGGTGTGTGTGTGGCTGTGTGTGTGTCAGTGTTGTCTTTATTTAATGACGACTGTTGAACGCTCTATTCCATGATAAATGTGAAATGCAGAAGGCTGCCGCATTGCATATGTAGTACATACCTGCTCAATAAAAGCTGGGCGCTCAGCTTAACATCCTACTCTGTACGTATGTATGTATGTATATATAAATATGTATATTTTTTGTGGTTCTAAGCAAAACTCTAATAGTTAATTATTTTTGCGAATGCCAACAGAAGTAGATTATTATGTATGCAATTAGTTGGTGAATTTTGTTTAGCAAACATATTTGTTTTCTTTATTGTTGTTGTTTAAGTGTTATTATTTTTGTTGCTATTCTTCTTTTTGCTTTGGCTTCGTTTTGTTGTTGCTGGCGTTGTTGTTGTTGTTGTTGTTGAGGTAGAAATTTGTTTGCGTATACGTAATATGGTAATTTAAGAAGAATAATGCTATTCGATTTGACTTGAGATCTTGGCTTAGACGTTAAATGCAAATAACTTTTGGCACTTGGCGAAACAACTCAAATAAAAATAATAGTAAAAAAAAATAATAGCGCTCACACACACACACACTTATCAATTACCGAACCGAACTGAACCGAACCGAACGACCGACCGAACAACGCGCACTTATAACTATTTAGCTACATATGTATATATCTATGTGTTTGTATGCATTTGAGATTTGTTTAGTTGTCTCATTTAAAGCTGCATCGCGTTGCCGCAGGATCGCCCCGAATTGTCTACTGGCTGGGAAGCACACACTGACTACACTGAAACGTAAAACGGTGAAACGGTAAAACGGGGAACGCTGGAAGCAGCAGTTGGCGGCCAACCAGCGTGTTGGGCTTTTTTGTTGCGTTTGATGATTGCAAGCGTAGAAACTCAACTGAATTCGTGCTAAAGAAGAAGAGAGTGCTCGAGTGCCTCTGGCAGGCAGAACGCCAGCGACGGCGACGGCAACGCCGACTGCGCTCAGCAGCAGCAGCAGCAGCGGCAGCGATAGCGCACAAAAAAGCGCATTAGGCAGGGACAGGGGCAACGGCAGTCGAAAGCACACACAAAACACTAAACTATTCACCGAAATTTTGGCAACAGCAGCAGCAGTCGCGCTCATGTGTGAGTGTGAGTGTGTGTGTGTGTGTGTGTGTGAGAGAGCGGGAGAGGGAGCGGGACAACAACAAACGAGCGAACGCTCAGTGTCGTTGTTGTTGATTTCTGGCCAGTCTCAGTCTCAGTGCCCCGATCCACGCCACTCAAACGCTAGGATCGCCAGGTAGGCAGACAGGGACAGGCATTAAAGATTCATATGTTCATGTGTGTGTGTGTGTGTGTGTGTGTGTGTGTGTGTGTGCACATGTGCCTGTGTTCTCAGCGATCTGTGCGTATACATGTATGTGGGGGGAGCACAGTGAATTGAACCTGAACTTGAGAATTAGAATGTGTTATGCTTTCAATTCCCACCACCACGACAGACCAGACCGAGCGCAGACACACACATACGCACACATGTATTAACTCATACTCGTGCACACACACACAGTGCCGCTGCAGTAGCGACGCACTCACACACAGACACACACATGCATGTGCCAAATAAAGTTTTGGCACAGTCCAGTATTAAATTTGTGACTCTCGATCTCTCACCCTCTCTTGCTCTGTCTCTCTCTCTTCCTCTCTCTCTCTCTCTCTTTCTCTCTCTCTCTCTCTCTCTCTCTCTCTCTTTTCTCTCTCTCTCACGCTCGCGATTAGCTTATAGCGCTTGTCTGTATGCACATGTGTGTGTAGCTGTGACTTTTGTGCATAGAACAAAACTCCGTTGCGGTCGGCGACGCAGCAACTGCGACGCCAACGCGAACGCTGACTAATAGCGACAAATTGGATAGGCAAATATATGTACATATACTAGCGGGTATAGCTCGGCTTTCCCCGTGGCCCGTATTAAATATGTAAATGTTCTCAAAAAGTTTTGAAAATGATTTGAAACTGATCGGACGGTAAATAAACAGCTTTCATACAAACATTTTCAGTCAGTCAGGACAAACAGTTTTATATATAGAAATAGAGAAAAGAGCTATAAAAAAAAAAAAAAAAAAACTAAAAGGCCGAGAGATTAACCACTCGACAACTTTGACATTTTCAACTTGCACTCAACTCATGTGTGTGTGAGTGCGTGTGTGTGTGAGTGTGTGTGGATCGCCTCTAATTACCATGACGGGCAAGAAGTTTCACCTGCAAACGGGCGCAGCTAGCGCCTCCGTTTGCCTGCCGGCAGATATCCCGTTACAATTGTAATTGCAGCGAAAGCATCCGCAAATTCATTTGAAATGGAGCCCCGGTGGGCCAGCCGGTGGGAAAAGCTCAGGTTTCTAATGCAAGTCAAAAAATTATACACAAAATGTTTATGCATAATAATAATAAAATAAAAAATAGAATATAACAGCACCACACTCATTGTGGAGAGAGGTGCAGTGGGTGACAGGGGGAGCGTGTGACCGTGACCGATCCCTAGCAGCTGCTCAGTTATAGAATATTGGAATATGGAACATAAAATGTAGTCTTATATTTCGGCTCACATTTCAATTTACAGTATATTTCGTTAGTTCGTATATTTGCACCTTGTTATTTGTTCGAATTCGAACTCGAAACTTTCGGCTGTAAACAAAATAACACGCAGCTACACTAAGCGGAATCTAGTTGGCATTCGCAACTACTATGTATGCATGTGTGCATGTATTGATGTATTGTTTACATAAGCAAATATGTACATACATATGTGTTCGTTAGCTTTGTTGGACTCTCTCCGATTGGGATTCTTCGATCTGTCGTTTTATGTCATTCAAGTTCGAAATGAATTTGATTTTTATTTTCAATTCTGATGTGACTTTTTGTACAAAAAAAGTAGAATAGATATGTATGTATGTGCATATATATAAAAATATAAGAGGTCTTCGCTCGCATTTGCAATT